AGTACATCAGTACTTTCTGTATCACCCAAATAAAATTTCAAGAGTAAGATTTCTGTTTGGACATTTTTTAACTTTTGTATAGATAGTTTAGGTCTTCCATTGCTGGTATTAAATATCGAGTCAAGTCAAGTCAAATCAATGTTATTTACACAGCACTTTTATAATAATGATATCAATAATAATAAGATTATTGTCACAAATTAACCTAGCAAGTTTAAATATTGTATACAATACAATATTGTATACAATATTTATGATGCAAATATACCTGAGTAATTTACATATTAAGGACTAAAACCCTAAAGAAATGATATAAAATACAACTTTACCTGACTACAATAAATATTAAGGCTAAGATCCTACAATGAGGATCCTAATAATGAGTACTAACTAGACACATTTATAAATAAAGTTATGAGCCTACAAAAATGTACCTGACAGCCCAAAAAATCAGGGATTCCCCACGAGCAAGCTTTCTTTTTCTTTTCCTTTCTCTCCTTCCTTTTGTCTTTGTGTGTGTGTGTGTGTGTGTGTGTGTGTGTGTGTGTGTGTGACATATTTTATTTACAGAGACTTGTCATCATGAAGTTAAGTCAAGGTTAGGACAAAGTTTCTTTATGAGTCATGGAAAGATATCAATTATTATAGAATGATCAAGGGCAGCCAAGATATCTAGTTTGGATGTATTAGTTTTGTACCATCTTCTGACATCCTTTTATTTAGTCATAATTTCACAATGCTTCCACATGAATTCAATCACAAATCTTGAGACTGACAATGATAGAATTGTGAGAAATCTAACAACAAAACCTTTTCATTTTAATCTATCCACAAAAATTTTGGTTTGGGCCAGTGTTGCATCTGGTCTCTGTTGGGATCCACAGAATCTAAGGTGAGCACTGGGGCGATGGGGTGCGGTGACACCAGGGACGTCCTTGCAGCCAGAAGGCCCATTCGAACACAGCTGTCTGTGTCTTTTCCCTGGAGAATCCCTGCTATTAAGGCACCTGCAAGACTGCAAGCAGAGTGGGGGTGGATGAGTGTGTTTTGCTTGAATGTTTAGACATGGTTTTGTTAGCGTAAGAATGACAGAGGTAGGGAGAGAAAGAGGTCATCAGAAATGAAAATAGATGAAACTGTAGCAGATGAAGTTTGGAAAAGGAAATTAAAATGAATGAATAGGGAAGAGAAAGTAGGTCGAGTAAATTTTTAGCACCTATCTCCGGCTCCTGACACATTCATCGTCTCCTCTGGGGTCACAGTCAGTGCTGGGTAGTGTAGAGCACAGAGCTGCCTCTTCTGCAAACAGAAATGCAGCAAAAATCATCTTCACTGTTACTGTGCTAGTAAACACTATCATCAGTTTACATGAATACAGTTCTCACCCTTTTTTGTTTTCTTGGCTGCAGGTTGACTGTGCCTGCATCATGCTCTCCACACAGCAACACACCATGAGCACCAAGCGTGACCACCAGACAGTGAAGATGGTCCAGCAGGGGGCGTGAGAGAGTCACAGCAACACCCAGCATTTCATCGAGAGCATTTGGTAGCACTGCCACACCATAAAACCACATCCTTAATGATCACACTATTTGCATTTTTCACAAGAACTCTGAACGCAAGAACTGCGGTTGTGAACTCGTCTTTGATAGGATGGAGGCATAGAAAAACAACACATTTGCATTTGAACCATTCATTTCTAATGAAGGAACACAGTTTACCTTCTGGTGCTGCGATACCCAGTGTTTTATTCATGGTACACAATTCTGCCAGGTTTGGGGATGAATAGGACAGAGACTTCCAGGAATCTGAAAGGAAAGGCTTACAAGCCTTTTCTGAATCCGTTGGTTCATACCAAACTGTGACACATATAGATTATATTGCATTAAAATCAATTAAAGTTTCTGTTTACATTCATTTATCTGTATTTACTGAGCATCTCTCCATGCTTACCATTAATGTTGTGCTTTTTGGCAACAGAACAAACATAGTCGATGGTGGAGACAGGGATGTTTCCATCAAGACACACAAGAGTGGCTGATGAAAGCTGCTTCTCAAACTGTGACACCTACAAAAACCCAGAATAAAGAAATAGTAAGTTAAGTTTATGAAATCTTTAAAACTGAAGGTTCTTCACAGATGCCGCAAAACACAATATCATGAAATACATGTTCTAATCATAGACATAATACATATGACACGGTCAAATGTAAAGAGAAAACACAAAATAGAAAACACACAAGGTCTGCAACTAAAAGCCATACAACGGATTACAAAACAATGAGTCAACAGAATTTTAAACTAAATTCTAAACAAATATGGATTTAATGCAATGCTGCCAGGTTTGGAGACTGATGTTAGCACATGAGGAGTTGATAGAGTAAAGTCAGTCCACAGTAAAACTAAAACAATACCACCCATCAGTTATAGGTGAAGAGACATATCAAATTCCTTGGTAAGTCACTGAATTGGCTTTTGTGTTTTATTATTGTTATTATCCTTCATTCATATGCACAGCATTTAAATCAGAGTGGAAATTGTGGATGCTGCCACATACAATGCAAATTACTGTATGCAGAGGTACTATAACTTAGCGGTTATAGCTGAAAACATGAATTGTATCAAAGTTTTATTTATATGATGAAAATGTATGGATTATAACTTTACAGATGGAATGTGGTCGTGAATACAGCACTAGAACACAAATCCCAGACTGATCTCGCTAAAAGAGAATAGTCTGTCGGTAGAACTTACATACTGCTCTGTGATTTGCTGATGAATGTCCATGTCCCCCAGTCCAAGACTCAGTTCTCCACTCTCAGTGATAACAGCACAGTAGGTTGCTGTGCTTTGCCCTTCTAACCTGGCCACACCACTTGTGTTCTTACAAAAATATGAAAAAGGAAGTTTTTACATGTTTAGGAATTTAACCGTACTTAGAAACAACTAACTGCTGATGGTCACATACCATATGTTTACAGTAGTTCAACACTGCATCACTGTTTGAATCAGCTCCAGTAGCTGAGATGAACAGGGGCCTGTGGCTTAATCTACTCAGAGAGTCTTGAAGCAAAGAAACAAAGAAACGCGTAAGAAACAAAAAGGTGTAAATGACTGACGAAAGAATGTGCAAGTACAGAAATCAGATAAAAAACCAACCAGCGATGTTCCTTCCTACACCTCCAAAAGACTGACAGACACTTCCTGGGTTGGTTTGTCCAAACTGAAACAGATAGCAAGATTTCTCAGAACTCAGTCTGGGTAGTCTATTCTGCAGAATTTTGGATAAACATATGCTGTAAATTAAACTTACAAGAAGTGTTTCGGTTTTTCCCTTGGCAATAAAATCAACATTTATTCCTCCTATGACAACCTGCAACAAAACACCATAATATGTGCACTTTTGTATTTATCTCTCATTTCGTCTGTTTTAGCATTAAAAAATGTTTATACTCACAACATCTGATTTTGTGTTCGACGACAGTTTTCTAGAAAGATGAGTTTTGCCTTTCAGTGTTCTCTCATTCATCTGTTTTGACAGTGCACAGGCTATCTGACTGCCAACTTTTGCATTGTTATGAATGAGAGCAATATCTTGAAACATGTCATGTTAAGGACAGTTTAAAGTAACACAGAGAAGGTGAATCATCATTAGTTGTGAACCTTCGAAGCCACTGCACTGTAACTTCAACAGATTCAGTCTTGTTTTCAGCGCATCAGTAGGATCATGTGTATTGTGCAACTTCTCAATCATTCAGATTGTTTATAAGGATACTGGCCTGAAGGGACTTTCCGTCAGTCAGCTCATTGACCTTTTGAAGAATGAATGGTGTCACATCTCTACCCGAGATACCTTTAGCACTGGGGAAATCAAAAACGGCATAGAAATTAGTCACATATCTAGACAGAAATTTTCCCTTGATGGCCCTGATTTTCTCAAAAACAAAAATAGCTGTCAAGATGGGGTACGTGACAGCACATTACAGTTTTTAAAAAAACATATGCTATCGAAACTTTGTGTACCTGGCCTCTGTCACTGCAGCCTGTATGGCTTCTTCTATCTGCTGACCTGCTGCTGCAGACTCTGCTGGGATGGGCACTGCTAACAGGACACCGCTTTGGAGACCCAGAGACAAGGTGCTTGCTGAATGATAAAAAACAGACATACAGAATAATATCAAACCAGAAATACCACTTCACAGTTGTATGCCTCTGCTAATCAGTGAGGCTGCAGTTTATACATGTTTGCCCAGACTTTAAATTTTGACCTTTGGGATATAACATGTCATCACTTCATAATTTCATCGTTTTCCACATTTGTGTGAAGTTTAGTGATGATTACTGTATGAATTCTTAAGTCACGGCCAAAAACGTGCTTTGTGAGGTCAGAGAGAATTTTGATCCCCAAATTCTAGTCAGTTCATTCTTGAGTCCAAGTGAATTTGTGCCAGAAGAATCAATTCACCTCCAGGTATTCCTAATATATATCGTTTTCACATGAATGGGACAGACAACCCTAAAACATGGTGCCTCCAGCCTCGGGTGTTAGCGGTGCAGAGGCATAAAAATAACAAGACGACCCAGCTGTACAATGGTTATACTGACTTAAGCATTTTATCTGCCTAACATACTATTTGCTGAGATCTGAGCTCAGCAAAATTAAGTGGTGACTGGCACTAAATCTTCACTTCTATGTAAAAAAAGCTCAAGGAATGTAATAATGTTCAGGATATAAAATGCTGATGTACCAATGAGTTTTGCAGCCTCCTCTGGGTTGCAGACGTGGTAAGCAGAAGTGAATCCACTTTGTGGAGAGAAGAAGGCTGGAAAATTCTTCGATGCTCCGTAAGTGGCCACACAGACGCCCTGTGTCTCCTAATTATAGAAAGACAGTGAAAGAAATCATCAGTGATATAAACAGTTATGTTTATGTGACACCTTTCAACCATAATGGTACAAAGAGAGGTACAGTAATGTATATGAAGAGTTCATTGTAAAAACAGATAGGTCCAATTTTGTAGATTTTTAGAAAATTTGTTTTTTTGCTGTTTGCTTGAGACAATATCAATCAAACTGAAGTTGAGTGGATTTGACTCAGTAGAAATGACATCACCAAAATAGAGATAACTTAAAGTTTGATTGATATTGTCTCAGGTAGACGATGGAAAAGTAGGTTTTCTGAAGGTTTGTAAAGATGGAGTTATCTGTTTGTGTAAATGAACTGTTCATATGTAACTGCATCAAAATCTTCCCCTGTCAATCAGCAGGTTTTCTAAAAAAAATTTCATAGCTTTCCTTACAAGGAACTCCAGGGTGCGACCGATGTCCAGAATAGACTTGACCCCAGCAGAGACCACAGCGATGGGAGTCCTGCCGAGCTCTGTCAGATCAGCACTGATGTCCAGACCTGGAGGAATAATCATTTAGTCAGCAGTCTTAAAGAAGTATTTCAGTCCCAAAAATAAGGGGTTAACAAGACTAACTTGTTTTTCTTAACATACCAAGTATAATTGGTGTCCAGACAGTTTTGTTGTCTTTACACTTAGATATCTTCCACAGAACAAACAGTCTGGGTCAATCAGGTGGGTTGTTCTCGATCAACCAAGTATTGGACACCCTCATCTTTTTTTTATGGTTTTCTTCTTTTGTCATCAAATCCAACTTACACTAAATAACAGACCCACCTGATGACAGACTTGTTTACTCCAAGGAGGGTTCTTTGTAAAAGACGTGAAACCAATCTTATCAGTTTTGGTATCAGTATGTATAAAAGGTATTTTCTAACAAGGTGCTAATCAGCTTACTGTTCTCGCCGTCTCTGTGAACTCCTCCAATGCCTCCAGTGACAAACACAGGGATCCCAGCTCTGTGTGCTGCTATCATAGTGGCTGACACTGTTGTTCCTCCAGAAAAACCCTAAGACACACACATACAGGACTCATGCAACCAACCTTCACACCAACTTACATGTGTTTAAGACAGAGATTATTTTTTGAGATTTGTTTTTGAAATCAAAGTGTCTCACTTTGCTAATGACATATGGCAAGTCCCGTCGTGACACCTTCAGGGAGCTTTTGCACTGAGCGAGGTAGTCAAGCTCCTCTGACGACAGTCCAACACGGACTTCACCCTCCAACACACCGACTGTGGCTGGAGTGGCTCCTTCAGCTCGTACAATAGCTTCTACCTCCTTTGCTGTGCTAGATGGAAACTTATTATCAATCACTAAAATAAATATTAACTTCTGGTAACAGAGTGCTTTGACATTTTAAGGTCATTCGAGGTACCTCAGGTTGTGTGGATAGGGCATGCCATGTGTGATAATAGTGCTCTCGAGTGCAACCACTGGTTTGTTTTCTGCCAACGCCTGCGACACAGATGGATGAACTCTGAAGAGACCATCTGAGAGAAGAAGTTGTAATTATCATTATTATCATTGATCTGTTCTGTGTTATGAGCATAACTTTTTAATGTAATACACATAATAAAGGACTGCATTTACCCTTTGTGGACAATGTGCCCTGATAAGATGCATATCCTCTTCTCAGGATGAGTGCAGAAGCTCTCCTCAGTATCCTCATCATGAAATCCTGATAACATGAAGAACTTTCAGTTTGAGTAAAAGAGTGCCAGCTGACGCCTCTTGTTCCAACCAGCTTGAGTAAATCAATCGTTTTTATCTGTTGCAACTAGTCATTGTGACTGTGATCTACATCAGTTACTGTGGTTCTTCCTCCAACATTCCACCCCCTAAGGCAATTGCTGCTAGTCATTTGCAAGATGACTACAACTTGGGAGTGACTTTTAATAATTCAAATGCCAACTAGTTTAAACAGGAAAAGGATTAAAAGAGAAAGTCAGTGTTGACAGATATTAATATTAAATGTACTTTCTAAAACCCAGAAAGAAAGAAAAAAACACTCCACAGACAGCAAAGGTCACCTCTGCAATTCACTTTTCCAGCATCGATTCAAACATTGCAGCACCACAACATTTAATTAAATATTAAAGTTTATCACAACTCAAAGCTCAACAATCACAGTTCTTCAAAATAAACTACAAACACTACTACTCACAGCATAGGAATGTTTTTGTTACTTTCGTTGTGACTCCTTTATTTGGTGGAAAAGATGCACAAAATGTGATTAATTTTAATTTTGTGTGCTTATCTAAACAAATACGATGTTTAACTTTACCTCAGGTTCTTGAAGGACAAATCAGGCTCCCAAGTTGTATCCCACTCTGCAGTGGGTTTTTCTGCCACTGCAAGGCACAAGTCCTATTCAGCCATTGTGAGGATTTTCTTTGCTCCAGTTAGTTGGGACATATTCCCACCATCCTGCCCCCCTTTTGGGGCCACTCTCAGGAACTGACACCCAAATTCCAGAGCAGGGGTAGCTTATTTTTTTTCCTGCTTTGCTGCATTTATGCACTGACGAGGCTAACAAAACTGTACCAAACTGTTAGTAGCAGCCAAACATTGTAGTTACAACTGTAAAACTCATTAGATGTCAGCATTGTGTGGTCCAATGCTGCTTTTATTGTAAAATGTAATGGAAAAACTACTGTCAGTGCACAAACACCCATTAACAATCACTTAAAACTAAAAAAAATCAGAATACTTGTCTACACCAAAAGTAGTTAGAAAGTATATCTGAAGTATTTTAATCTTAACAACTTTAACAGTAATCATGTTACACAAAAGGAGGGAGAACATGTTTTTTTTGAGATACTAAAAGTCCACAGCACATTAAATTCAGTCAGTTCATTATAAAAAACAGTCTCCAAAAACAGCTCAGTACTTACCTTTTCCACTGCAACAAAAATGCTACAAACTTTGGCCAGAAGGCTGAACTTTGACCTGAGCTCTGTTTACACAGGCCAGAAGCATCAACCACAGATCTCTGTAGTCTAAACTGTCTCCTGGCAAAAGCTCATTATATAAATGTGATATGCAGAAATGTGTCAAAACAGAGCCAAGAAGATTTATACAATATAAATAACAAAACAATGAAAGAAGCATTGCTTGTACAAAAAAATGTGTCCAGGTATAACTTTTTTAAGGTTAGAAGGTGCGTCTTCAGCCCCATTCTGCTTTCACCAACTGATGATGGGCTGGCAGCTGGATCTTCTTCATGAACATCACCAGATCATTTACTTAAATGTCCTCAACCATAGGAGGGTTGAACTCAAATGACGAGCACTTTTTAAGCTGGCCAGTCATGCAAAAATTGCTCTTATGTAGAGTAAAACCAGTTTCTAGTTTCCTCAAGTGACTGACAGCTTGGCTCATGAATACAATATGTTTGGAGGTCTGTGCTTGTTTTCAGGCTCTCGCAGATTTCATCTAAGTCCTCTTCAACCTCCAACTCTGAGCTTTCCAGTAACTCATCTTCAAACCAGTGTGGATGTTCCTGCTGGTATGTACGGAAAGCCTGTATGGCGTCATGCAGGGCTCTACTGGAGGGGCACTGATGGTATTTGTCCTCTGAAAGCCCTTCAATTTTCTTCACTTTGCCTGGTTCGTGTTTTTCTGTGTCCAGAATTCTGAAATAGACCTCCTCAAACTGTTTCATTAGTTTGTATCGTACTGTAACGTGGAAAGGTGAAGGTATGTCTTCTTCAGAACAAACGTCCTCAAAGTAAGCCACAATGTACTTTTTAAATGACGTTGACCGGATAAAATGAGGGACCATGAGGCTGAGGGATGGAGTGAGCATGTCCCCTACAGGTGAACGGGCGTCCTCTCTCAGGAAAACCTGTTTGTCACCGCACATGGCTCTCCATTTGGCTTGTACTCCTCGTGAGCACAGGATCAATATCTTATCTGAAGAGCTCTCTATTTTCTCTTTGTGCCACTCTAACCACTGGATGCTTCCCAACACTCCCAGTCTGGTAGAATCCAGCAGATCCAGAACCACTTCAGTGCCACATTTGGTTGCCAGGAAGGCACAAAGCTTGAGAACGATGTTTTTGTACAAAGGGTGGTCGAGGGAGTAGATGATGAGGATACGTTTTCTCTCCTGGAGCTGAAAAACTTCTGGTGGCTCCTTGGCAGCAGATGAAGATGTGTTAAGAGGGTCTGAGAGATGAAAAAAATCTATGATTTATGCATTCAAGTTGAGCATTCTATTCAATACAGTAAGTTTATAAGCAGGCAAACCTTTATGAAATGTTGTCCACAGTAAAAAGACAAAACAACCACCAATGACGAGCAGTCCCAAAGTCGTCTTTAAAATTAAACGCCATTGTGAATGATCTAAAAAAAAAAAAAGAAGAGAAAAAAATACACGTAAATCACTGAATACTTCCACAAATAACAAAGTGAATTGAAAGATTATTAAAAGTTTTAACATTAAAAACTGCTATACTTAAGGTGTCCCGAGGTAAAAACGTTGGGAACCACCTTGCTCATGTTTTGCACCATGTGATCACTGGCAAATTCGTACTTACGTGGGCAGTAATGGATTGTTTTCTCGGGGCTCCAACAGTGATTTTTGCATCGTATAAAAAATGGCTGAATCTTTGAGACAAGCAGAGTAAGATGAGCGCTTGACAATTTATGATTTCTTATTCAGCGTTAAAGTCGGCACATCAAAGTAAAATGTAACTCACCCTTATAAACATTTTGCATTGTGAGAGCTCCCACTCATCAAACTCAAATGTCACATTCAGTGATGTTCTGTTTTCCTAAGAACACATCTTGGCTTAAGGTGTGCATTTAAAACATAAAGTCAAAACATTTCTATGTCTGTCATCATTTACTGAAAAGGGAAATTACCTTTGAGACATTCTTTGAATAAAAAAAGTCACTGTTCTGGATGGAAACTTGGTATCTCTCTGAATATGTTGTTGCCTCAAACCCCACATTGATGGACAACATTTCAGGTTTCTTATCAATTACCACGGACATGTTAGGATCCCACAGACTACCTGTAGTGACAAAAAAAGTACAAGGATCTGGTCCTCGATCTCATTGAGAACTTTGTTTAAATTTGAGAAAACAAAGAATGTAAGATTTACCATTTTCTAGACACATCTGGACCTTTTGGATTCTCTTGTCACCACATCCTGCTCATCACAGTAAATATTATAAGAAGTTCATTACAACATTTTAAAGTTTAAGTGCCACCTTGCTTAAACAAGTTGTAGATTTAGCATTTTTAAGATTGAAAGAGTGCTAATTTTAGAAAACAAGACACCTCAGTGACATTGATGTCACCTCAAGCTCAATAAAATTTAAAATAAAAAACATTTTTAACAGTTTCCTAATTTCATTTAAAATGACCCAACAATTACAATGAAGTTAAAACTGGCACATGAATGAACAAAAGAAATCACTGTTAGCTGCAGCCCCATTGGAAGTTATCTTGGTTTGTAAGTAAAACAGCCCCATAGATGTTTCATTTTCACTGTAGCTGCAGAGGTAACTCACCTGGGATGGTAATTTGCTTTCTAATAGTGTAATCTCCAATCTCAGGTTTCGGCAAATTGAAAATTGACACCATATACGTGTACCCAGGTTCGACCACAACGTCCTCCAAGGAGAATGTCCACTAATAAAGACAAACAAAGTCACAGATTTCTATTATTGTTTTATACAATGTGTAAATTGGTTAGAACAACAGAAAAAGTTAAGCCAACAAATAAGTGTTGTAACTTACTCTCCTGTCGTTTGGATTCAGCAGTTGTCCAATACGGTAAGAAAACTGTACACACACACTTTGATTTGTACTTTCTTCCACAATGTTTATCTCTGATCCATTAAGAGTCCTGATGGACGCTATGGAGAGGAAAGAGTGTATGTGAGCTACAATAACCAATACTGTAGTAAAAGAATGCGACATCCCAGAACTGCAGGTTTTAGCCTTACTCACCATCAGCCTTTATTCTCCATGTTACATTAATAACAGGAAGTAGCCCATGTCTGTCCATTCCCACTTGCTCATGCTCAGGATCCCAGTCTGGGCCGGTAGGAGCATGTTCTCTAAGTGCGACCATGCGCTGCTCTGAGCAGTTACCTGACATTTAGGGAACCATTCCTATATTATTATGTTTCAAATATCTTTCACATATATTCAGATACACTACTGATCTGCAGTGATGGACAGTATAGCAAGAATTATATGTAACATTACAATAAAAACAGTCAAACGCAAAGATACAGACTATTTGCACTAAATACGGCCATGCTCCACGAACTGACTGAATTTCTCTCCATCTATAAAGTTAGTCTGTGGCTTTATCCTGTTTGACAGGTAAGATACTTACTAATTTTGCAGTCATCAAGACCCTGGCAAAAAACAAGATACAACAAAACACAGACAATGAATTCATGAAGCTAAGACTGCAAATCATCATCCAATCACTTTTATAAAGCTGATTATTTATATGCAACAACTAAATCCTCACCAATTGTTTGCAGTCCAGGCGCTTGTCCACAATCCTCAGAGCAGATAATGCTGTGACTACAGCAGTCAAACAAAAACAAAAGAAAGCAAAATGGATCATGGTAGTACAGATCAAGCAGCTTCAACAACTGCAAAAGAAACACGAAGAAAATAAAAACAAAATAATCAAATACATGTAGGAAGACAATGCAATAGTTTCCCTGATGAAACACAGAGGACACTCGCTGTGATATGATTTGAGTCAGTGTGACTGGTTTCAATTTTATCAGGCGTTCACATCTGAAAACACAGGAAGGAGGCTCTTACCATATGTGGTTTGTGATTTCCATTACCATGGAGAGCGTTGCATAGACTGACAGCTGTCTTAACTGATTATGTTCCGTACGCATGTGAGAAACAGAGCTTAAGTTTTTCCTTGCTGAAGAGTGTGTGTGCACTGTGGACTGAAGCCAACAGCAAAACAACGAGCAGGGTATGACTGCAGAGCTGGAGGCTGCACTTCTAGGACCCCTGGTGTGACAAAGGAAGTAGCAGCATTTCTCACCATAATAAACGGCAACAATGATTGTGAATCGTTTCATAGTTTAATGTTATATAAATTTCTGATGTCTTCATTTGCACAGCAAAGCTGTTGTCAACTTGCTAAACTGAGAAAGAAGCTATGTTTGAACTTGTCATTAAACACTGCAAAGAGTCATGTTTTATCGAATGAAAACTGCTGCAAAACCAACTTAATATTGATTTAAATAAATAATATATATATCTGCCTCCAACATTGTCCTTGTGTTACACCTCTTTCCAACCTTTCAAACTGTGCTGGTTGAGATCTAGAGACCACAGAGGCCACAGCATATGATTCTATTATTATTTAACCTGATAATGACATCCATCCATTATCTATACACCGCTTAATCCTCATTAGGGTCGTGGGGGGCTGGAGTCTATCCCAGCTGACTTAGGGTGAAGGCACCTCAACATGTTTTTGGACCTTGTGGGAGGAAGCTGGAGAATCCGGAGAGAACCCACACTACACGGGGAGAACATGCAAACTCCACAAAGAAAGATCCCGGGTGTCCTCACCGTGACGCAAACAGGCGACCTTCTTGCTGCGAGGCAATGGTGCTAACCACTGATCCACCTTGCAGCCCTGATAATGACATGAGTATGTTAATTACACAATTGATCCAAATGCAAGTCTTAATAACAAAGTTATCCTTATATTTGTGATAAGTAGTATTTTGGGTTGAATTAACCTTTCAAACCTTAACTTGTTTGTGAAAAAGCATTATTTGGGTGGAATAAACCTTTAAAATTAGGGGTACTTGGACATGAAGTAGTACTCTCTGTGGAATACTCCTTGAATAAACCTTTTAAATTATAAGTATATTTTGAGTGAAATCTTCCTTAAAAACCATAAATTGTGCACTTTAGTGATCATCCATTGCAGTGGGTAGTATGGTGCAGACACATACTAATGAAAAAAACACTCATCAAAGCATCAAACTGTCACTAGGGGGCAGCAGTGGCCAAATTTACCACACGGAAATATCCACTTTGTATAAATAGTCGGTTGTTGGCTGGAACAGTCCAAGACAGTTCATCCCATTATAAACAGAGTTAAGTGAAACAGACAAACGTACAAAAACACACAATTTATTTACATGCTTAAAGCACTGTTTTGACAAAAAAAAGCAAGACAGCAAACTGCAGAAAATTGGCAGAAAATTAGGAGATAGGACATAACTGCACATCAGCATGACAAACGTATGTAGGCCAAACCAAACACATCCTAAACTATGTTTTCACATTTAGCATGACCCCCTGCAATATTACCTAAATATAAAGATATCCAAACATCTGAGTTCAGAGGATCAGCACACAAAGCCAACACACCGCCCAGGATTTTGACCAGTAAACCTCCAGCTATTCACTGTTTGGTTACCAGGGATTATTTTATAGGATAGGGCTGTAGCCGTGGCTATGTGTTAACTCCTGTTGCATTGTCTTAGAGTTACTGTGTCTCCTACTGGACACTAAGCTCAACTGTATCAGTTTGCATACAACGAAGACAGACAGACAGACAGACAGACAGACAGACAGACAGTCATGTGTGACTGAAATCTGACCAGAATAGACTGTAGCGGTTGTATTTGATCCCTCCTCTGTGAGAGAGTTGTGTCATGGCAATTATGATTAAGAAACCAGAGTGGCATCTTGATCCAAACATAAAAATATACTTTTATGCAGTACAGCTGCTCTCATCTGTGATGTGACATGTTGTGCTCAGGATTTTGACAAGAGGATTTTTACAAACACTTTATTTAATCCCTGTGTGACCTTTACTATATATATATATAAATGACTAATAAATTGTTTATAACATCGTGTAATGCAGCTATAATCAGAGATAACTCGTTTTCTGTGTGTAACACCCCTTCCTTAAATACATCCTTTATGTTACAGTGGGCCATAAAGGATGGGGGGACATAAATACTCTCCCATCCTTTATGTCCCACTGTAAACACTCAGCCGTGTGTGTAGTCACATGTTGCACCATATATCAAGCATTTGTTTACATGCCAGTTACAGATGCTCTATAAGAGAAGTTATATTCATTGAGAAAGCCTTTAACCAAACACTTCTCAAATATTTACCCATGACAACATTATGGTGTGTATTATGAAGCATGTCTTAAGTGTATGTGTAGTTTCTATAAATGCAAATTACAGTAGCATATTTTTAATATTGGTTGGTATTAAAGCTGGAGAGTTGCACTGGTCATTTTTTTTACCCTTCCAGTCATTTGGCTCAAAGAATCTATACAACAATTTGGCCCAGACTGAATGTCTCAGTTTTTGGAAGGTTTTCAATGAAATTTTGTAGACAAATTCATGCACAATTCACTGAATCCTACCGATTTTGGGGATCCTCTGAATCTGAATCCATTGTCAAAGCATGTTTGCATGCTGATTTAGGTGAAAGAAGCACTTATCACGACAATTCCCAGTTGCATAGTTAAAAAAACCCCCATCTAATTAGACATAATGAACTTCAGCCTATCAACTTTTAAACCTGACACTGAAAGGCACCTTTACAGCAATTGGTCGTTGATGTTATCTTCTGCCAGTACACAATGAGCACACACCACGGCATAAATTTTAAACGCAAATACTCTTTGAGCGCCTGGCATCTGTAGAGAGGGTAGCTCAGCTGTCAGTTAGGTGAGGGGCGTGTGAGGTGTGCCCTTGTGCAGTACAATCGCATGAAATAAATGGGACACGGGTTGAGGACAAATCAAAAAGGGGGATTGTACTTTATGATGTAACAATTGTCAGGTGGACAGGAGGTCTATTTTAGCGAGCCATTCACATGATACTTTGAAAGCATAAATCTTTCACTAATAACCATAAAGTGCTTTTCTTTTTCCTGACTCACTGCTGCCCTGTCTGGTCTCCTCTCACCTTCAAGGTAAGTTTCATACAATAACTAACTTGCTATTTATTAGAACATAAAAGTCAATCAGATTTATTACAGACATTAAATAGGACTCAATAACCTGACAGTGCGAGACTAGCAGACTAGTGGATCATCTACTCTGCCGCAGTGACAACAGCCCAGATATCCAAGTACCTGTCTCTTCAGCCAAGTCGAGTCTGGGTCAAGTCGAGTCCGGCTTTAATGAAGGGAGTAGTAAAGATTGCATATCTGCATGCCCCTGACACAGATACAGCAGCTGGTATTTATGCGAGGGAATCCTTGCTATGTCACCACTTTTGTCAAGGTCTTCAAGCAACTTTCTGAACATGCCAGTCTGGCTTTGACTTCCACGACACCTCAAACTTCTTAAATGATCTCTTGATCCTAAGTGAGGAAATGTAACCTGAGGCTTAAACGGCGTAATAAAGCATTGGCACTGGTAACAGCACGCTCAGCCCATCGTTGTGGTCAAGAAGCCTATGTGATAAGTGACGAAGGTTAGCTCGGATGAACTGGCAACCTTTGGAGTATAAGGGCAAGACTGCAGGCTTCCTAAAGATGTCTACTGCTTTGATTGTTTACTTTTAATTTCACCGTCTGTCAGACTGGCTTAGCTTAACTGCCTTAATAATCGTGTTGTGTCAGAAGCACAGATTTGTTTTTATTTTGCTCTGTCACCTTGTCAGGTTGTAAATGTATAACACTGTGGTCAAACTCATTAAAGACAGGATGCAATGTAGTTTTGCAACTAATGATACAAAGAAATGATAAAAAAAAAAGACAAATGAGGAGGTATGAAAACAAACATCTTGTAGCTAAGTTACTGTTCATTTTCATTTTAGCCAGCTAACCTGTAACTTTATGTGCTGGTGACAGATGAATTCAATATCCAACCTTGTACAACAAAAATCAAGCAACGACATGAAAAGAGTCTGTATGGAGAGCCGTGTTGCTTAAATTGCTATCATGGTGTCCACAGGTCTGATGTTGCTTCTCTCCCGGCTGCCAAACCTTTATGCAGCTTGGCTTTCTCTGGCATTATCAAGGCCACAGCAGCTGATGGGACACTGCAAAGCATGGGGGCAATGTAGCCAAAAATAGCCGTGCAACGGGCTCCAAGTCAGGCCTTTTAAACAACAGAAGAATTATCTGGTCCTGGAAGAAAACTCAAATGCATCTGAAAGTCTCCGAGGACAACTGGACTAAATTAATTTATTGAACAATTATTTATATTGGATGCATCAATCACATTAACTACAGAAAACAGCAGGACTGCATCTAATGGTTATTTTCATTATTGATTACTCTGGACATTAATTTCTTGATTCATTGATTAAGTGCTTGACTATAAAAGAATACTTAACAGTGCCCATTATATCTTCCTGAAGTCCAAGACTATGCATTCAAATAGCACATTTTATTTGACCACCAGTCCAAACTACAAAAACACATTCAGTCTATGATTGCGTATGACAAAGAGAGATATAAATCATTACATTTAAACAGTTTTAATTAGCAAATTTGGCAGATTGGACTTGTATTGCTTGTATAATAATTTAACTGCATCACTCTGTGTGATACAATAAGCATTCACATACATGGTATGAACTTCAAATATTTTCTTTTTGTTCCAAAGGTACTATAAGCTGCAGCCATGTCTGAGGGGTGAGTATTAGCCTTCTACACTAACTTAACTTGTGTACATTTGATGGCTCTCCTCCTTTCTCATGTGCATTATCACCAACAAGTTTTGGAAGCCTTTTTCACCACTTCCCATGGATAATTATAAAAAACATTGTTTTGTTGTGTCTGCTTTTCATGTCACGTGATGATGAAGACCGGTGAGTCAAAATGTCTTTAACATGATTATTAATCCATCATCATTACTCATAGCCATTTCATGTGACCTACACTGATAGCTATGTTTTATGCGTAACTGTGCTTTGCTCTTTGTTGCAGAGAAAGCAAAAATATTCAGCCACACGCAGACTGCTGTTGAAGGTAGGCCAGATGTGAACAGTATTTAACAGTGCATACTGTGGTTGAACACAGTCTTGGTATTTGTCAGGGCCTCATTAAGACCTAACTGTGTTTCAGTCTAAACTGCTGAAGAAGGCAGCTTCTATGCTCGTGGCTGAAGGTGAGCAGAAAAAAGAAGAGAAACAAAGAGCTGTAAATGAGAGCTTCCCACCACTGATGCTATCAGGTCTGTCAGTCCAGGAGCTCCAGGTACTGCACCAGCAAACTATGCTCATTTGCTACTTACTATTTACACTGTTTTGACTGCTTTCTTTTTCTCTCTTACAGGACCTTTGCAAAGAATTACATCGGAAGATTGATGTTGTAGATGAAACACGTTATGATATGGAGCTTAAAGTAGTCAAAAATGATATGGAGGTACAGATCATTTAAATCAGAGACTAATGGCACATTTACTGACCAAGCTGTTGCAGTTTTCAGCTGTGATGTTTATTGAACAGATCCAGACCCTGACTCAGAAGATCATTGAGCTGAAGGGTGTAAAGAGGCCCAGCCTGAAGAGGGTGAAGAAAACAACAGATGACATGCTGGGTGCATACACCGACAGCACCAAACTCATGAAGGCTGACTTCAAAGCCAACCTTAAGACAGTGAAGAAAGATGAGGAAAAGGTAAAATTGTAAAATCTGCATGTACATTTATTTATTAAAAAAAAAAAAAAAAAAAAATCAAAAACAGTTTACAATCAATGTATATATTCATGCATGTTTTTGTCGTACAGAGGGAAGAGGTGACAGACTGGCGTAAGAACGTGGAGGCCATGTCTGGCATGGAGGGCAGAAAGAAGCTGTTTAATGCCGCACAGTAAGAAGGTGCTCATGTTAAAAAGATTACGGTAGCAACATGTCATCTTCCCAAAATAAACTTGTAGTTTGCAATGTTCACGCCCAAGTATGTTTATTTTTTTATTATTAAATCCTACTGACCATCATATTTCAGATTTTTTCTCAAAATTGAAAAGGTTTTCATTTCAGCATGAATTAAAACTGCTTTGTAAAAACACTTTAAATCATGGGACAACATGTGAAAATAATAAAACTGTATGCCATGAATGCAATAACATGAATTGTATAGCATACTGTACTCTTTGCATATTAATACTGAGCTAAGGAAAAGTCTGTACAGCTTTATGATTTTGTCTTTCAAAGTGCAGTTCTTGTATTACACAGATGATGGCGCTGTCTCACTATATGTAATACATGTGATGCTGATTAAACAACTGAGATTACATACCTGAATTGTCTCTCTATTTTTATTTTATTTTAAAGATTTTCAGATGTGATATTTAACTGTTTAACTGTTGATCTGTTCTTTTCTATTCATCATGCTGTGTTAGAGTCACAGACAGAATAGATGACACTGACTCAGTGTTGAACATATGGTTGAGTGTGCTGCTGTGGTAAACCTGCTGTTGAGGTGTGTAGTGTAGTGATATACAGTACACTGGCTGTGAGGGCAGAGGAGGCTATTTTAGTTGGCCACTCACAGAAGGCAAAAGCACCCATTACATTTGACTTGACTTTTCTTCTTCTCATTTAAAGACAGAGACTGACCACATCAGCTGGGTTTTCTGCAGAGTAAAAAAAAAAAAAAAGGTATGTGTTTGTTTGAATAATGACAGTGTGGTTTAAGGATATATTTATGGACAGTTTTCACCTGCTGCATTTATGTAAAATAGTAGTAACAGGAATTAGTTGCAGGTGCCTTGCTGGATTTTGGCACATGTAAAAGAGTTATAACCAGTTAAAGAACAAAAGCAAATCTATTTCTTATAAAAAAATATATATAACTAGCCTAACAGCTGAATTTTTACAAGACTATATGTATGATATAAACAGAACAAGGCAATTGTATTTAATACTGTATCATACTTTTATTGCAAAGGCACGTTTATTTTATGCATGTTTAAAATGACTCAGGAAAATTGATTGTAATGTTATTTTATGATAATGTACATTTTCACTTATTTTAACAACTGCTGCAGGAAATATTCTATATTTACAAAAATAAAAAAGTTAATTTATTTTTTTTAATCTGATTTGGCAAGAACAAATTCAAATTTTTCTTTCTCATATGGAAAATGGACCGACTCCAATTGGGATTTAAAAAGGAATATCATTTAAACTATCTGCAGCACTCAGGCATGCAGCGTTGCTAATTTAGAGGCTTACTGCTGGTATGTTACCATACCAAGGTCTGGATGACTTTAACTTGGCTCATTCAACAAGACGGGATTAAACAATATGTGCAGCAGCAGAACAATGTACTTGTTTGTGCATCGTAAAATAACTTAGTTATTGTTTACAAGAATTAAGAGTGTTTATAACGGTAATAATCTTGTGATTATGCATGTATACACTGCTGCTGCTTGTTTCTAAATAACGTTTTTTTGTGTTTATTTAATTTAATTTTTTACAGACAACAGCCAATCATGTCTGAGGCGTAAGTGATGATTGTTTTTAAATTCTTTAAATTGGTATTTGGAAAAGTCTTCTGTAAAATTCTTCTTAGCTTTAACATTTTGTTGCTAATTCTTATTTCTTTTTTTTACCTTTCCACATCATAATGTCCACAACAGACCAGTAAGTTGTTTGTATAATTTTGGAAAAGAAGATTTAAATCTTCATTTGTCTTCTTGTACTGCAACAAACATTTTTTGTCTCCTGCTGATTTGCAGAGAAAATCAAAGATCTCTGCATCTCGCAGACTGGCTCTCAAGGTATTGTCTTTTTTGTTTTTATCAGAACGGACAGCAATTCATGTCAAATTATATTTTGTAACACTATCCTTCAGTGATCTGTGACAGAAACTCCATCAATCACATTTTTTTTGTGTAATTTAGACCAAGCTGCTGAAAATTGCAGGTGTGATGTGGGAGAAAGAGAAAGATGAAAAGAAGCAGGAGAGAGAAGCTACTCTGAGTGAGAGACTCCCTCCACTTCAGCTGTCTGGTTTGTCCATGCAGGACCTTCAGGTATGTGCAGGTCACTGCGTAAGACGTTCATCAGTAAAATAACATGGTTGAAATGCTCCACACACAAGCATCCCTTTGATGTATATAGATGGCGTGCATACAGTGTGTTAATGTGCATTAGGTGTGCATTAGAGGATAGCTGTCTTGTTGTCCACATGTTATGTCTTGGTCATTTCCTGACACCGTTTACCTTGAAATCATTAGAAACTTCTAATAGAATATCATTCCCTGGCATTTAAATGGATATCAAGTAACCACTGACATTCTGGACAGTAGTAATAAAAGACACCATGCTGTGCTTCTTGGTGTGATGTTTCATAAATAACTGAGTGCTGCACCACCACGTCGAAACATAAAGGCATTTATTTTGAGATGTGCAGCTGTACAATAAGACCGAGGATTGCAAAGCGCTCATAAAATTGATTCTATTATCTTTCTGAAGGCTCTGTGCAAAGACTTGCACCACAAGATTGATGTGGTAGATGAAGAGCGCTACGACATTGATGCCAAGGTGGCCAAGAACAACACAGAGGTACGTATTCATTCATATTGCTTGCTTTGATTTTAATTCTTTTACTCTTTTACTTTGTGTTTATTTTATTGGATGCACAAAAGAAGCAGCAGCATAAGATTTATTTTCCTATATATTCTTGTATTTAAAATGAACTTTTAAGCTTACCAGCCTTACTGAGCTCGGTTTTCCATACTTTTTTTTCAATTATATTCAATTGATTAAATGGGACACAACTGCACACTTCATACTTACATTGTTATTCATTTCCTGCAGATTGAAAATCTGTCCCAGAAGATTTGTGAGCTCAAAGGTAAGATGAAGCGGCCTGCTCTCAAGAGGGTGAAGATCTCAGCTGACGCCATGCTGGGAGCTCTGCTGGGCGCTAAGGTCAAAGAGTCTGTGGACTTCAAGGCCAACCTGAAGACAGTGAAGAAAGAGGAGGAGAAGGTAAGTGCTATTCAGCTGGTTTTTACAGTTTCCAAGATCATGCCAGGCTGGCTTGACTCTTGGTTTTTTTTCGTCTGAACTTGAATTAAGGCAAGACGCTGTAGCATTGTTCATGTTATCAGGGGGCGATTTTGTGACAACACAGTATGACTAAGAGTTATTTTCTTCCTCTGAACAGAAAGAGGAAGTGACTGACTGGCGTAAGAACGTGGAGGCCATGTCTGGTATGGAGGGCAGGAAGAAGCTGTTTGATGCTGGACAGTAGATTTATATTTCTGGATATTTTAAGTACGAATCCTGTTCTGTAGGGTTTTAGAGTAGAGAGGAAAACAGAGTAAAGCCACTACGCACAATTAGCAAGCACACTGTGCATGTTTGAGTATGGGCAGGTGTATAGACTTCACATGTAGTATGCACAAATAATTCAGATTTAAAGGACTGTGATTGTATTATTTTTTTTTGCATAGACAAGAGCTGCACTGTGTGGTGATTTTATGATGTCGGGACTTGTAAAACTCTTGAACTGTCTATACGTTGATCACAGAAAGAACAAAGGAAAATTTGCTGTTTCTTGATCCTGAAATGTGTGGAAAGACCGTGATAATAAAAACTTCTGATCAACACAGAAAACTGATGCGGCACTTTTCCTTTTACATATTGGAGTCACTGCTGACTAGGATCACAAAATTAAGCATGTTCGTAGAAACCGTTTACATCGGAAACAGATAAGTTATAAAATAATCTGTCAAAATAAAATCAGACGTAACAGTCACATTGAGTGAAGTGACCAAACGATGTTTAAGGGCTACAATAAACCTACTAAAATCAATGAGGGAGCAGTCAGACCACAAGTAAATACTAGCACTACCGCAAAGGATAACCGTTAGATCTGAAACAATTAGTCAATTAATTGATTGAGAGAATCTGTTGGGAAAAATATTTGATTACTGTTGAGGGCAGCACAGTAGTGGAATGGTTAGCACTGTGGCCTTACGGCTAGAAGGTCCTGGTATGAATCTCAGTCTGGGGTTTTTCTGTGTGGAGTTTGCATGTTGTTCCTGTGCCTGCATGGGTTCAAAGACATGCTGAGGTTAATTGGTGATTCTAAAGCGTCCGTAGGTGTGAATCAGAGTGTGTTGATTTGCTGTCGTTCTATGTGGGATCCCCTGGGATTGATTGGCGACTTGTCCAGGGCGTAAGCTGCCTTCACCCTGAGTCAGCTGGGATAGACTCCAGCCCCCCCATGACACTACAGAGGATAACGCGCTGTATGGCTAACAGACGGATGGACTAACTGTTTGAACATGATTCAAGCAAAAACAACATAAAGTGCAGTTCCAGTTTAGGTGCTGTGACAATACATCTGTGAAAGAAAACTTTCTGTATGACATGTTTACATTTAATGTAGTAAATCATACACAAGGGTGGTGAACTGGTCTAACACATACAGATCTCATAAATAGACATTTGGAGGACCATTCACTGGTTAAATAATGTTTTCTATGGTTTTGGAGAGATTTGTCAATTCTATGAAATTAACCATAATCAAGGGTAATCTTGGCTTGATGACCAATGTGTACCATACATTCAAACTGCAGGTGTGGATTTCTTTTTAAATTCCTGCTCTATGTGGTGAGTAGGGTATGGCGAAAGATAGAATAAAGATTGTGATTGAAGCAAATAAATGGATGTTTGACGGTACACAATAGGGAAAGGTTGTAGTTTCAGTTAAGAGGAATATTGTTCTGTGTTCAATGCATGTCTATGACAGAATACAAACTCCAAAGTACTACATGTCCATCTACCAGCCCACACTTAACACACTTTCCTTCCACCGTGCCACATATTTATTGCACAATCACCATGGCCAAAAACATTTCATGATGACTATACTATTGCGAAATCATTAGAAAATTTGAACAAACAAGAAAAACAATAACGTTATCCATCAGATTGATTTTAAATATTGTGTGTTTTGTCTCTTTTGTGGCAAATGAATTACGCTCAAAATGGTGCATGGAGGTAAAGAGAGAGTTTATAACATAACTGTACTGTGTTGTTCCTAAGTTAGAGGGCAAACCAGATAGCTAGTAGTGCTTTAGATGCAGCTTTTTAGAGCTTCTGTGTTGTTCTACCAGGTACTTAAAGGTGACCATCCGATTGGTAGCATTTATGGGAATCCTTGAATTCTTGGAGCTTCGTCTACGCTGCACACAAATGATCGGGATTAGTCTCTGCATCCTACGTACTGGTTTTAATCATTTCATCACTGATCCAACTTTAGTGCGATACTAAATCACTGTGGTAGCACTTTAAAGCAAAGTGTCTCCTAAAAATAGCACATGACCCAAGGTGTGCACTTCACTATTTTCGTTTAATTGTTTGCTGCCTACCTATCCTTATGTGGGGGCACGAGTCGCAGGCTTTTGAGTCAACATTTGACTGCCTGCTAAAACACTGACGCAAATTGAAGTGTGCCTGGCTCAGTTTACAAACCATCATGCCCTGACAAACACCTGTCCTTGTTCCTCTACTTGCCTAAATAAAACCGGACTAACCTTTGGCTTTGTCCTTACCTCCGAGGTGGTCCTGTAATGTGTTATCAGTGTTTCATTGTAGAAAAACAGTAATGTATACAGAAGATAGAGTCAAGTGGACAGAGGATGTGCACTGAATATGTGCTACTTCTGGCTTTTTGTAATGCAGTGGTGAATCACTAACAAAGCACAATATTATTTGTAATTTTTAAGATGTGTGGCTGGTAGAAGCGCAGATAAAAGGATATTATCAACCTCAGCGACACTATTAGATGCCTATAGATGGACATCTTCAGATACTCCATCTCGCGCTTGGGCTGTGCTGTTTGTTCTATAAATACAGTGACAGAACAAGTAACAGTGACACTCAATGTTGATTTCTTCCTTCTGTTTGACTCCTTAACAACTTGATCCAAACTTTAACAAGCTGGCTCTGGTCAAATGTGAGTGCGTGACACTGACCCAACATGTCTTCAGTCACCTCCCACTAAATGCTCCCACTCACTTCCACTAACAGGTGTCGCAGAAACCTTGTGAGATCCCATAAGAGCCCATAAGTGAAGTTTTATTACCCCCTTTCCTGTTCGAATATTGTGGTGATGCTATGTGCAACAGTAAATGTCACCGACGGTGGAAGCAACAGACAGGACTCTATTTTAGTTAGCCGTCAGATTTAGCACAGACACTATAAATTTGATTGATTTTTCTTCAACGTCTTTCAGAAAGTCGATGGTGCCTTCCTCACACACACACACTTTTCTTCAGTTTTGAGGTACGTTTCAAGGAGCTGTCTGGCTTCAGCTAGGTACAGATTTTTGATAATTACAAATATTTGCTATGCTGGTTATGTTGATGCTTATCTCTGTGAATGTTTCTTAAAGGAACTACTAACAGTTTCCACTACCATCTCTACTACTTCAGTAGTGTCTTGTCCTTTCTGCGATGTTTACTGTGATAATGTTATCGTTTTAGATTAACAACAAGTTGAACATTGCCATTTTACATTCCTGTGGATTATCTGGTCATTCACCTTTTCTGTCACCTATGCTGAAACTCTCATCAGTTATTTTAACACATCTACCACCTCAACTCTTCGAGACTTTCCATATGCCATAAACCAAGTGCTTGTAAAGTGATTCTGCTTAGAGTATTTTAAAGGACTGATCATGTGTGGCACATTTAATTTAGTTTGAATTTATAATAACATTTTATTATATTTGATGATTTTAGTTAAATTCCACATTAATGTAAAGAAGAAATAAAAGTTTATCTATATTATTCTTTGATTACATGTAACTTACAACGTATAATCAAGATCAAGTAAGAAGAACTAACTAAACTCCTAAATTACACCAAGGAGACATTTAGTCCAGCGGGTAATAAATAACTTTGCACGCAGAGCGTTTATGGGCCGGTGACTGTTTGGAGTGGGTACAATGATCAGACAGACGATCAGTCTTGAGGACGCAGCTCAGTGACCCAGGTGTTAAGCAGAGAATTTGCTTTATTTTTGTGCATGATGATTCACATTTCCCAGGATCACACTTTCTTTTATTTTTCCAATTCTAGCGTAGGAGTTCACAACAAAAATGGGTGACGCGTAAGTATTATCACTTTTGGTTTAAGTTAATGTGTTCAATAACAAACTACCTTTAAAGCAAAACTCTGTGTTAATACTCATAAAAATGTTCATCTGTATTTTCTCCCTCCTGTTAATTTCACAACAGACCTGTGAGTATCTATTATACTGCATGTTTAATAACTTATTTCTTCAGTCTTTAATTTATTGATGTATTAAGGCCATAAAAATCACGCATGTAAATGTGATTTGCTACACATCATATGGTTTAAATGGAGGATACTAAATGCTTTTTTTTTTTAAATCTGTGAATTGTAGAAAAAATCAAAGATCTCCTCCTCTCGAAGGCTGGGGTTGAAAGTAAGTTTTTAGGTTTTTTTTTAAATCCATACGTTTTACAATAATATTTGTTTAAACCAGATGAAAAATTAATTTCAATTTCAGGATCCTTATCATGTAACATGGTCAAAGATTATGGTATTTATACAGACTTAACTACCTTAATTGGTCTGGAGAGTCCTAATAAAATGAGAAAAAAATGCCCCTTTGATCCACTTCCTTTTTTCCTCCTCAGATTAGACTGTTGACAGTTGCTGCTCAGATGCTGCAGGAAGAGACAGAGCAGAAGATGAGGGACAGAGAAGCTGCTCTGTCAGAGAGAGTTCCTCCTCTAAACCTGTCTGGTCTGTCCTTGCAAGAGCTGCAGGTGTTTTATCTCATTAGAATATGTGCGAGATCCTTTATTCTCAGCAATCACAACTCTTCTGTTTAAATATTTCTGTTGCAATATCCTTACACCACCAGAGGGTGTCTTTTTGCCTTTTCTTCCAGGACCTATGCAAAGACCTGCACCACAAGATTGATGTTGTAGATGAGGAGCGATACGATATTGGTCTCAAAGTGTCCAAAAACGACGGCGAGGTGAGCTGCTCATTAATAAATAGTAAGAAAAAGATGCACCTGGATTTTTTTTTTGTTTTTAAGTTACTGCATCCAATGTCTTTACTATAGACACAAGGTCATAACAAAATGAAAACAAAAAAATGACTAAACACTGCTCCCAAGTGGCAGAACTGTGACAACAACACAACAAGACGTAAAGTAAAACCACCATCCATGAAGCTTGCTGTTCTTCTTTGGCCTATTATGCAAAGTCCAGTTTAATATATCACAAAAAATAAATCTAATATTCACTCTCTTTCAGTTTGGTCTCCATTGCTGCCTCTACTTCCTTATGAGGAATATATTTGACTCTTTAGCTGATAAATTCTCCACTTTTCAAAACAGTTGCTTGCTACAGCCAAAAAGAATGATTTGAAAGCGGCGAGACTAAACCAAAATAACAATAATTTTAATAATAATAATTTTAGCGGAGCTCTGAGGGTTGCTGCAGATTCAGGTGATAATTCTCTGTTGTTTCATAATTATGAGCGACCCCTCTTACAGTATTACACTGTTGATATTGTCATTTAATATGTTGCTATTGTAAAATATCAGTTCTATCTGTTCTGTGACTTTGTGCCTCCAAACATTTTGTAACTCAGCACGGTTCATTGTTGTCTTCTATGACATCAATAGAAATCTGTGAGCAAACTGGAAATTAGAAATTTGGCTGCGAGCATGCAGACTGCTCTATTGTAATACATGGCATTTATACATGAAAGGTCACATTATTCAAGAGGCTTGAACCAAGATGCAAAACGGCAGTAAATTATGGACTGCTAATTAGCTTGGAGCAAAACAATTATTACACTGATTTAATGAGACAAAAATCCTAGACAGTGACATTTATATTCTCCATTAGACCAATAATAAATCAGGCCAAGATGGCAATTTATCAAAAATGTGCTGCTACACAATCATGAGGTTCACTGTCAATAAAGCAGATAACTAATGTAACCACTACTTAATCTACAAAAGTAGCAATCAAAATAGTATTCTCTGTATATTTTATTTATTAATAAGTAATCGCTAAAATATGCATATGTTTTGGGTCAACCTGAAAGAGCTGGGAATTGTAAAATGTATGAATAGTGTAGGGCTGCAAGGTGACGCAGTTGGTAGCACTGTTGTCTTGTCCTCTGCCTTCACCCTGAGTCAGCTGGGATAGGCTCCAGCCCCCCGCGACCCTAGTGAGGATTAAGCGGTGTATAGATAATGGATGGATGGATGAATAGTGTAGTAAACGAAACTAAAAAAAAAAACTAAAATCAAAGTTAAGATTAGCAAAAGTTTTATCAAAAAAGATCAAAGTTCACTTCCAAATAGCTTCCAGAGCCTTTAACCACATTTTTAACTATCTCAGCAATAATTTAACGAACATATCTTGAGTTAAGGTTGGTCAAGAGTGAACTTTATATTTATATTAAAGTGGACAAGTGAACTAGTGAAAGAGGAAGGTCAAAAACCTGGAAGCTTCTTATCTAAATGTCTTTATATTATTAAATACGTATCAGGCTAAATTACTGGTACACTACGACTTCACATACAGAGGCAGAACAGCCAGCACTAATCCTCTCTATCACATGATCCCCCGGCCAGATTGAAAACATGAATCTGAAGATCATTGAGATTCAGAGTAAGTTCAAGAAGCCAACCCTGAAGAGAGTGAAGATCTCTGCTGAGGCCATGCTGAGCGTTCTGCTGGGCGCCAAACACAAGGAGTCCATCGACTTCAAGGCTAACCTCAAAACAGTGAAGAAGGAGGAAGAGAAGGTAAACCTGGCTTTTGACTTATGGTTTTGGTAAATCTCCAGATGATGGTTACTTTTGATCTTTTTTTGTTTTCAACTTGGCTTTGACATGTCCTCATCTCTCTAACAGAAAGAGGAAGTGACTGACTGGCGTAAAAACGTGGAGGCCATGTCTGGTATGGAGGGCAGGAAGAAGCTGTTTGATGCCTCTGGCAACTAAACAATCTTCTTTCAGAGAAGAGAGTTTCTCCGTTTAACTAATTCTACCCATTAATTATTTCCTTATCTATATTTTATTGATTTATGAATCGCAAGCAGTACAGACACCTTTAAAACTAGGATAGTCAAGGAAAAGCACCAGCTGACCATTTTTAAAGAGGCTGGATGCTTCAGGTGGTTTTAAACGTACACATGTGATAGGAAAAAATTTAGTACGTATTAAATATGTTCTTTACTGAACTGTATGATGAGAAAACACTGACTTTAATACATTTGAGTGTTTTAGCAACATTCTTTTTTGCCATTAACTGCAGTGTATTAGAAGCATGTGTTTGTTTGCAGCAGTTCTCCTCTGCAGCCTTGTGATGGCAGCATCATTCTTTCAAATCATCACAACGTACTGAGGGTACAGTACGCTGACAGAGGAGAAATATTGTTTGTTCATCATAAATTAACAAGTGCTATTGTGTCATCTGTTGTGATTAAGTGCCATTTTAAATGCCATTTGCCAGACATTCAAAATGTATTGGCTATTAAAGCTATTTCTAAACATGAAACTGTACAATTGTTGTCTTTGTTAAAGTCATTACAGAGGGAGTGTGTTTGCTTCATATTTGGTTTATGGACTTTACAACAATCCTCTCTCATTAAAAAGACAGCAGTTCTGCCATTCTCTTTCTCCATGATGTAATATAATAATCACTTTGGACTGTATGTGGGATCAACTTTAATGTAGCACATATAAATATGGATTTAAGCTCCTTCATACTTCACCCTCTCCTCCTTAACAAGGAGACGGAGGCACTAAGACAGCATCACAGCTAGACAGCCCAAGACAGAACTTCACACCTCATACATGTGGAATATGAGAGACGCTCTGCAAGAATGGTGAGGACAGAGAGTCTATTTTAGTGAGCCACTCACATGAGCGCAGGAATCTATATATCTGCGCTCTTTCATCCCTTCTCGCCTCAGAAAAAGACGTCTGTGAGTATTTGTCACTTATTGTATAAGGTAAGGATTTTATTTTGAAATAAAGCATGAGGAAATGCAAGAACAAATTTAGAATGTGTATTACAATATTATTGATAGGAATTGTGTTGCCACATTCATTAGTATGTTTTAAAGACCAAGGTTGTACTTCTCCTCTAAAACAGCATTTACGTTAATGATAGTTTTCATTTCTAAAACTTTTACTGTATAAAGAATATCACATTTTTTGATAGTACCTTTTTTTGTAAGTCAAGTAGGAGAGTTTTTCAGGTTTAAGACCTGCTGGCTTCCTTTGATCTCAAACAGGCGTCCAAGTTGATGTTATAAATAACAACAGAGTGTGTATTTGATTTACGTGTTTTATTTTTACAAATCCAGTTGCCTTCTGTCTAGATGTACATTTTATTGATTGATAACTTGTCAGGTAATTCTAACTATTTTTGACTTTGTTTTAGAGGATTTTTTAGTCACCGGTTTGACCTTTAGACAATGTCATACACTGTTTGTGTCCCCTGCTATGTTTCTACAATCAACAGTACAGTATAAGAAGTTTCTAAATTACAACAGTGAATGTGATCAGAGTGGTGTGTATTCTAAAATGCAAACTGTCTTCTTTCCTTTTTGGATTTATAGATTTAACAAGCGGGGACACAAAACTGCAACCATGTCTGAAGGGTAAGTACCCTTTAAGTTTCATTGCACCATAATTCACATTTACTCTGTGAAATTCCAACATAGTAAGAAATGTACCTTTTCTCTATCTTCTCGCATTATGCACACCTCCTTCCTGATTGTATAGGACCCCGGTGAGTTGGTTTGATTTTTTAATTTTGAAGTTAGGATTTATGGGACTAACAGCTAGGACTTTAGAACATTATTCCTAAAAATCCTGACTATTTATGTTATTGACTGATATTAAACTTAAAAATAACACATATTCTACAATGACATACAAATTTACAAGACAGATCTGGTTTAACAGCTTGAACGGGTATGAGAATGAACCATGATAATATGGGCAACACTGACAAAATATTTGCCACTGAGTTATGTGAATTTGAACCCGAACGCTTTGCTGTGTTTACACTACACTGCATCTGTCCAAAAACTTAACACTACATTAAAGCATAAAGAATTTTACTAACACAAAAAACTGCTGCATACTCCAGAAATCTGAACAAAACGTGCACTGTCTTCTTTTCCAGAAACCAAAGCCAAAAATCTCGGCATCTCGCAGACTGTTCTTGAAGGTATTTTATGTGCAACTGTGTGTTAGTCTTGGATAGCAATGCTGCAAAAAACCTTGCTGCTGTAAAGCGTACATTGTCTGGTTGACTGAGGGATAATTCTGTATGTGTACCAGACCAAACTGCTAAAGAAGGCCATGACTCTGCTGGAGAGTGAGAAGCAAGTCAGAAAAGATGAACGAGAGAGGATCCTTGGTGAGAGAGTTCCAGCCCTTCAAGTATCTGGCCTGTCTATGCAGGACCTACAGGTACATTTATTACTGAATCCTGTTCATCCACAAAAAGCGGTTGTTGGTTGTGGCTCTAAAGAAAGTCTCCATAAAATCTCAGAGCTGTCAAAACGGCAGAGCAGTTTGTTTTAGAATATTTACTGGCTCTGAGGTATGTGTAACTGAGAATTCTGATGACACCTCAAGGTGAATATGATTTAGCTTGTGGTGCTAAAAACACAAAAAAATTAAATTTTTACATTTCAGCAACAATGTCTCTTGCCAAAAACAATGTCTCAGTTTCCACTGATCTCTTTGTCAACAGTCTTCATAGAGACCATTAGAATATACTTCCAATGAAAAGTATTCACAGCAAAATCCTTAATTCGTCTGTGAAAAAATCTGCAACACGTTACATGTAATTGTAGAAATTATGATATTACCTTACAAACAAATCACTGCACATACACATGTTGTACTGTCTCTGCATTGTACTTTACTATGTGGATGTTTCTGTAAAATTATCCTGATCAGTTACATTTAAACAAACTTCAACAATTGGTACTTTAATGAGTCTGATACACTCAAGGTTTCTGTCCCCAGAATCTTTGCAAAGAACTACACCAGAAAATTGATGTGGTTGATGAGGAGCGGTATGACATTGCATCTAAAGTGTCAAAAAATGACATGGAGGTAAGTTGTAACTTTCAAAGTTCTGTGCTTTTTCACATTAAATTAAGTGTCTTAATGCCAAATTTATGGGACGCATATGCACCCAACCTTCACTGGAAGTTTAAAATTTTGAGGCTTTAAGGATTTGTTTATCATTTGTGTTGGGAAAAAGATTCAGGACCTGTCTCAGAAGATCTATGAGCTGAAGGGTAAGATGAAGAGACCAAACCTGAAGAGGGTGCGGGTGTCGGCTGATGCCATGCTGGGAGCTCTGCTGGGCGCTAAGGTCAAAGAGTCAGTGGACTTCAAGGCCAACTTGAAGACGGTGAAGAAAGAGGAGGAGAAGGTAAGGGCAGCAGATGTTAACTTGAGTTTACATACTGTGTGGTGTTGCTTCAACTTAATTCAGTTTAATTCATGCCAGGTACAAACAAGTTTATGCACCACTAATGGTACAGCAAATGAAATAGATTTCCGACAGGTTCATTAAAATAGGTTCCGCTTCTTCCTAAAATTACACCCTCATGTGAAACTTGAAGTGATGCTACGAAGGATAAAAGAGTGTGTGTGAGCAACTAATATTTATTGGAGCAATTTCATCCCTATGCCTGCTTGATATTACCAAGCATGCATCCACATCTTCCCCAGGACAAAATTAGCTCAAGCACTTCAGAGTGAACTAATTCAATTTTGGGCTGCAAGGTGGGGCGGTGGTTCGCATCGTTGCCTCGCAGCAAGAAGGTCGCTGGTTTGCATCCCGGTGAGGACACCCGGGATCTTTCTGCATGGAGTTTGCATGTTCTCCCTGTGCAGCGTGAGTTCTCTCCGGCTTCTCCAGCTTCCTCCTACAAGGTCCAAAACCATGTTGAGGTTAATTGGTGATTCTAAATTGTCTGCAAGTGTGAATGTGAGTGTGCTTGGTTGTCTGTCTCTAAGTGTAGCCCTGCGATAGACTGGCGACCTGTCCAGGGTGTCCCCTGCCTTCACCCTAAGTCAGCTGGAATAGGCTCCAGCCCCCCGCGACCCTAGTGAGGATTAAGCGATGTATAGATAATGAATGGATGGATGGACTAATTAATTTTTTTTCATACTATCACCCCACAGAAAGAGGAAGTGACCGACTGGCGTAAGAACGTGGAGTCCATGTCTGGTATGGAAGGCAGGAAGAAGCTGTTCGATGCTGGGCAGTAGATTTGAAGTGAAGATCTCTGTGAAGATGCTGCTTCAAAACAAGTGGAACCAGTGAACTGTATAATGACAGTGAAAACAAAGATCAGTAAAAGTGCAGGTTCTGGCTCAGTTCATGTTTTAAGCGTTTGTTTGACTGGTCATAATGAACAAAGTGTCTACAGGATAATTCTATGAATACATATTATATTTGCATAATGTATGCAATGAAAATATATGTATTTAATATAATAGTGCACTATGCTGCTTTTGGAGTTTTTAGCATCTTATAATATGCATGAGTAATTCAGCACCACTATCAGTTACCCATGCCATCTCAATATCATTGTCTTACTTTGTGACCTTTTTCATATACAAGAATCATCAACACTCACAGGAAATGCAGATGGGCAAATGACAATGGATCTTTCTTTGTCTCATTGTTGTTTTGCCTATATTGCCTTAAAAGCTTAAGCTCCTTTGTTATACTGGAGCGATAAAGTGAATAAATACACATTCCAGGGGCAGCTAATGTTGGGGTCAACTGTTCATGGAGACACATCAAGGTGAGCATCCTTGAAAATTAATGTGGTATTAAACTTAAGACATTATGATCAAAGCAGTGTTATGGTTTGCATTTCAAATAATAAAATGTATTTGACATTGTTCAGAATGCTGTTACTCTCCTTACAGCACTGTTCGAGTGCTTATATAAATCACATTTTTGTCTGATAGTGTTCATGAACTGGAGTTTGCTATACACTTTTACTTCAGGTGTATTACGCCAAATGCTGTAAATCATATATAAGCGTCTTACCTCAAAGGTTCTTTTCAAAGTATAACAAGACTCATATGTAAACTGTGTAGCATGGCCTTTATCAACCAAGAGGAGACCTGAAGTGAACACTGATTGTTTATCCTATGTACGTTACTGCAACAATCTAAAAGACATAAACAATACCTGGTTTTATCCAATAATCATTTCTTAATAGGTTTTCCAGAAAATGCATTACAGTGTAATGTGATATAGGCTACGTATGTGGAGGCCAATGTAGAGTAAATACAATAAAGTGGTGATTAAATGGGTGTAGGCTTATCTGTGAAATCTAATGCAATCCAATACAACTTAGAACATTTTACACTTTTAGTTTTATTGATTACAAAAATGTGATGAACCTACTATATTTTTTTTATGTTGTTTGTCTTATTTCTTTATATTATGTCCGCCCCATGAACATACATTCGGGGCGGGTGAAATCCTCACCATTGAACTAAAACTAATTCTAAAGAAGCTTCACATAGCAGAGCTGTTGTGTTGGACGCATTCAGTTTCACAGGTGTTGGTTTGGTTTAGAGATGAACTCATTAGCCATTTGAGGTTAAAAGCTGTTTTTCACAAGGTAAATCATAATATTTCGTGGTTAAGATGTATATTTGGCAGGATAGGTTAAATCTTGATGGTGTATATGGTAATAAGCCAATGTGTCCTTTTTAGACTAAAATGATTCAGCAGTAATTTTGACAGAAGCAGCTTTAATCATGCAGTGGAGCAGCCCCCTAATTAACTAAACTGTACCCTGCCAACATTTAAAACATGTTAACTTTTACGTTAACTTTACGTTCCATAGTAATGAAGTGATCAACCCTTCAGGTGGTTAGGCGATACTTTCAAATCCTTATGAAACTTCAACTTTGGCCTTATTTTGTCATATTTGCATTTTCTCCACATACCAGTTTCATATCAGGCCGATGTACATAAGCGGTGTCTTCTCCCTGGTTGTAAACACAGTTATCTAATACTGCTGTGGTTCTATTTCAAACCCTATAAATCCTCTCTAAACTATAAATTAAAAAGCCCAAACTACAAACCATGGACACAGCTAGCTAGCAGACTGCAGCTCTCCATCAATTCCATGTCCGGGGCTACGCCTCCTCCACCGTGAACGCGCCTGGCCGTTACTGCTGCTCCTAATATGGGCATAACAGACGCCTAAGTACCGCCTACAAGTGATATAATGCATCGGGATTGGACGATTGAAATGTCAATCATGAACATTCAGGGGAACGTGCCTGTGCGTGCCTTGCACAGTACTTGTCAACATTAGCGAGTGCCCCAGCTACATTTAGCCGGATTTAAAACCCACACAGGGTAAGACAACAATTTCACAATAACCTGGTCGTTTTGGGATGTTACCACATGCCTGTGTTTCTGTTTTCTATCTTTATTTCGGTCCGAGCGGCCGCAGTACACGCAGCATTAACAGTCATTTCTTGACCCATCCTCTCAGGTTAGCTAAACAGCTTTCTAGTAACATCTAATAAAATCAGCGCATATACAGTTAGCTATCTATATCTGTTGTGTTTAGTCTAGCCAATGAATGAGGATGAGGAATCAGTGTAACTGCTGTAGCTAACCGCCTCCAGCCGGTTAGGTTTTTTAAGACAACCTCTAACCTTTTGCTGGCACTGCCTCCAACAAGCCCCTGCTCCTGAACACAGATCACAGACCTCTGACTTAGTGAGGCTATACACTGTAAGCTGACGATTAGTAGGAATTTGTTTAATGTTATGTCATATTTTCATTCATTAACTACATAATTTTATTTGAATTTCTGTTGAATGTGTCTAGATTTCTGCTGCTAGTGTTTCGGATGTCCAAGTACAAACTCTTTCTGCTGAGGCATGGAGAAGGGGCCTGGAACAAGGAGAACCGTTTCTGCAGCTGGGTCGACCAGAAGCTGAGCGAGGATGGGGTGAAGGAAGCCCAGGACTGTGGCAGGCTTCTGAAGGAGCAGGGCTACAAGTTTGACTTGGTGTTCACCTCCATACTCAGCCGCTCTATCCAGACAGCATGGTTGGTGCTGGAGGCTATGGGCCAGGAGTGGGTCCCTGTTGTGAAGTCCTGGAGGCTTAATGAACGCCACTACGGTTCCCTGATTGGACTCAACCGGGCGGAAATGGCTGTACAACATGGAGACGAAAAGGTGAAATTGTGGAGAAGGAGCTACGACATCACTCCACCCCCTATCGATGAATCCCACCCTTACTTCCTGGAGATCTACAATGACCGCAGATACACCACTTGTGATGTGTCAAAGGAGAACCTTCCCCGAGCTGAGAGTCTGAAGGAGGTGTTGGACAGGCTGCTGCCATACTGGGACAGCACTGTGGTGCCAGAGATAAGGAATGGGAGGACTGTGCTCATTTCTGCTCATGGAAACAGCTGCAGGGCCCTGCTGAAACACCTGGAAGGTATGCCATTGAACTGACCTGAGCGATTGTAAACAGTGCTCTCTGAGCTTTTGTCTTTGCGCAGTGAATGCATTCATTTGACATCAGCAGCTGCTCCTGAACTTTACAGGCTTCTGTACATCACAGTCATTGAATTAGGAAGGACATATTTCAGTTCCACAAATGGAAGGCTGAACTTGTGTAAAAAGGCCAGTGAGTTTATGTTACATTCGGCTGTGGCCATGAAATCCATGCTGACCTTTTAACACACTCACGAGCTTGAGGGCTCCATGTGCCACAACCCACTAAGTAGCTTAACACATATTCACTGTTAATGTACATAATAATATGTAGAACATGATATATAGGCTGCCATGACACTGTTTTGATTTTATTGCCATTGCATTGCACTAAGGCAAAATGAAAGAATGCAAACTGTCATTGGCCCTGTTTGTGGATTGACTGTATTGTATAATTTTAATACTACACCCTCTTTCAACAGGTATATCAGATGAGGATATTGTCAGTGTGACATTACCTACAGGGATACCCGTGCTGCTTGAGCTCGATGAAAACCTCAGGCCTGTGAAACCTCGACAGCTGCTGGGAGACCAGGCCAAGATTCAGGCAGCTATTAAAAAGGTGGAGGACCAGGGAAAAGCCAAACCATCAACTTGAATGCACCAAAATGGCTGTAAGATTTAATTTACAGTGATGAGCCACAACATTTAAACCACTGATGGGTGAAGTGAATAACACTGATCATCTTGTTACATTTCAATGGTTTGCTGGGAAATCTTGGATGCTGGCATACGTGTGTGTTACATTGTTCCAGATCAAGCAAACTCCCCCATTGCAATGGCACTCCCAGAATGCCCCCTTAGCAAGAAAGTGTGCCCCGCCACACCCCAAAAACTGCTCAGGAACAGCTCGAGGAACACAACAAAGTACCTAAGGCACTGACCAGTCTTTTAAAGTCCCCAGATCCTTATCCAATGGACCCATGGTATGTGCCACAACAAGCCAGATCCATAGAGCCCACAACTCACAGTACCCAACACGTCTGCTTCCAACATCCCGGTGCCAGAAACCACAGGACACCCCTGCATTCTTATGTCCATGCTGCGATGGGTCAGAGCTGTTTTAGCAGCTACACAAAATTAGGCAAGTGGTTTTAATGTTGCGGCTGATCAGTGTCGCTCTGTTCCTGTTGCCTGTGTGCACTTTTTGTTAGATATGGTGAAACCCCTCAACAGACTTGAATCACTCACAGTATAACATTAGGCAATAACAACAACAGATTGTCAGTGAGATTTAAGGGATAGGTGTATGTCTTATTGTCAAGTTGCTGTACGTGCAATAGTGGGTCTCACCTGTATGCAGGATGCGTTTGTTGCCAGACAGGTCCTCCTGGGGCAGCAAAAAGTCCTGAGCTGTACTGTAAATGTTTCTGCACTGTGCTGAATTGTGTTTTGTGTAAACACTGAGAAAGCTGTTGGTCTGTATGTAATTTTTAAGGTAACTGCACCTACTTCTGCCTGTATGGTGACTCTAAATTGCTTATTTATTTATTTACACACTGACTCTGCTTTGTAGATATAAAGTCACAGTGAAGCTACAAAGCTTTTAGTATGCCATATCCCTCTTTTCTGAGAGATGTTTTTCTGTTACATTGTTCAGCTTTAGGAATATTCCCTTGGATGTGCCTTCAGTATTCAGCTGTCTTCTGAAAGCTTCTCATAAGTAGAGTATGAATCAAGTCTTTTATTTAGGAATAACAACACTCCTGTAACAAGTCTTACCTCATAAACATTGATGACCAGGCTGTTGATTCCAAGAATTGGGTAATTGTGAGCTGTAAATATGCAAAGCCACTGAAATCCCATGCATATGAGTTACTCATACTTCTAAATGGCCTGCTCAGTAAGAAAGACAGCTGAGTCTGTTTTTCTGTGTGGTTTATACAGTACATTAACTCTGACACAGAATAAGTTGAGTTGAAAACACTGTGGCTTGCAACCATGGATATATTGGTATGATAACTGGTTTATGCTTTGCACATTTTGAAGGGGATTTTGCGAGATTTTTTTTTTTTTTAATGAATTCCCTTGTTAATTAAATGCAACAACTGTGAATGGTAAATACCATTATTTGATATGAATTGAACTATTTAAGTGGACTAATACAAGGACAAGTTTGGTTTTTATTTTTAGTTCCTAAATATTATAATAAATGCACCATTAATGTCAGTAACGTGGGTGAAAATGTTACAAATTGTCCTGCTTGTCACCCTTTGTTTTTACTGTTTGTGGTACAGGCTTTTTTGTTGTATGCCGTACTGTGTATCTCGTACGTGCATGTGAAATACTGTTCATTGTTTGTGTCTCCTGTTTTCTCAGTTTGTTGTTGTGTTGCTCCATCACTGTTATTTTGTACACTGGTTTGTTAGGTCAACAGGGAAAGGGACAGGTTAAGAACATTTGTATCTACTAAAGGGTAAAAAAAAAAACAACAACAAAAAACAGCACTGACAAATTTGTTATTTCACATAAGATTGCTTAATTTCTGTACTGCTGTTCTCACCTTTTCATTTGAGAGTATGCATGACGAAATAAAAGGGAATTCAAATTTTCCTGAGAGATTAATAGTCATATGTGTGTCTTGTGCTTCATTTTAAACTTTGTTTTAAGTCATCATCCATCATTTTACAACACCAAGGCGTCTCACATGTCATGATGATATACAGTCGGTAAATTTTGTGATGGAGCAATGGAAACAAATCAGGAAACAAACAATAATACTCGTTTGGGAAGTACAGACATTCCTGCAATTTGGATTCTGGTCGCCTTGAGCCCACTGGAAACAATAAACAACTGAGTCTGTTTGGTTACCACAGATAGATCCAGAGGAGTGGCTCTTCATTTCTCAACCACTTCTGTAATTTGGCCAAACCAGTGGGGCTGAGCCACGGAGAAACCCTCTAATTGGATGGAAATGCTCTTAAATGGACTCTGTGATCAACATGATGATGCTCATTCCTAACTATGTGGCAGCAATGATAGCATATATCTAATATACAGATGGGTGACAAACTAAAGGAAAAACCAACATAAGGTGTGGGGCCAGTAAGCCTTGGCATTGTTCAACTCACTGAACCCTACTGGAGGGATAGATCACCACTTTCCCACAAGATACAGCATCATTCGATCTTTTGATGATGGCGGTAGAGAGCCAGGTCTAACACGTAGGTCCAAAATCCTTTATAGGTTTTCAATTGGGTTGAGGTTTGGTGACTATGAAAGCTGCAGCATATGATTGACATCATTTTCATCATCATGAAACCATTCTGTGACCCCTCGTGCTCTATGAGTGGAGAGATTGTCATCCTGGAAGAGACCACTTCCATCAAGATAAAAATGTCATCACAGGATAGAGGTGATCACTCAGGGCAATCTGACTGCTGAGGCTTCCAGGTGAACCATTCAGAAAGAACATCTGCCTCTCAGTCCCGGTTTCTTTTGCTTATTTAGAGCTGCTTCTGCTAAATCTAAAATGTCTCTAAGAGTCTCAATGCACTCCCAGTGTCTGAGGAACTGAAGCTACTTGTGTTTTTGATGTCACCACAACAGAAGCAAAATTCTTAATGTGTTGTGCAGCTAACTTGGCCAGTGTTACCATTAGCTTTCAGAGCCATTTCCAAGCAGCTACTCTGCATCGCTAAAATACTGATTTTATAGCCACAATGTCATCTGAAAAACTCCCCAAATACAATAGTTAGAACTGACAGCTGTGCTTTGAATTCAGCAATATTTTCATGTAACGTAATCGTTCAGAGAGAAAGTTAGAAGAGATAGAAAGTCCTGTTCTCACATATTAAATCATGTCTGTGTCAGCTGCTTTGCTCTGTTCTGTCAATTACAGATGCTGGGAGAGTCTTCTTTCTGAAGGGGGCGTGGACAGCAGCAGATCAGTTGCATTTAAACCTACAGACACTGGAGGAGTTTAGTACAGGGCTAAAACCAGGGGTTATGCAGTCATGGTGAAATTAACCATGTTTGCAGCATTTTGAGGTGAAATTTTGAAAGATGCATTCTGGGGACTGTGAGACTTTTAATGTTTGCTGAAAAGGAGCACAATGTGGGATCTTTAATTTGCCACCTGTTAACCTTTGTCATTTCAGTCAAGCATCCAAAGTGCACTTATCACTTCTTAAAAATCTTACATTCACACCATCAAGGGAATGTGTCTAAAAGCACTTTATTAATCATTCAGAAATCTCATTGTACACAAAGTGTAGAATTCATTATCATACCAATGCCATACTGATATAACTGAGAGTATTTTTCTGCAGTACTTATCTCTATGAACTAGAGGAATTAATTGCATGACAATCTGAAAACATCCATAAAGTTAAACTGTGTTCATGTACACACACATCAGCCCTGAGGGAAAATCACTGAGTTGCAGTTTGAGCAGGCGGAGCTGTGCACTGCATGGCACACTTATAAACCTCTGGACGCTCTCCCTCTGCTGATTTCCAGCAGGAACAGTCACTTTGGTCTGCAGGCCTGGTAAGTTTGATGATTATAATAGTGTGATGCAATTTTAAAAACCTGTTTATGCAGAAAAAAAGGGATTCTGTTTTGCGTATTTAGAGATATTTTTTATTAGAGAAAAATAGAGATTTGTAATCAGAGTTGAGCTGATATTAACATGCACCAGTGACTGCTGAATTTGGTTTCTGTACATCATTTGATGACAAAGCAGATGTAGAGTGTTGTAAATAGACCAGCTGGTTTAAACACTGTCAGGAACAGCTGCTCTAAATGTGTTTAAAAGACTTACTTGTTGACAGAAATGAGGTTTTATGTTATTTAGATAACTCACTCCCCTACTTATCATATAGCAATCAAAATTAGACCAGGATACACCTGCCTTAGTTAAACCTATGCATTTGATATGTAAATGAATCAATCATAAATGTGTCATAAATATGACTTTAAGACATTAATTGGAGAAGAAACTAAAGAATGGACAAAGACATGCAGAAGTTCCTGTAAAGATGTAAAGATTACAAGAGGAGATGTTGAAATGTCTGCCAGTTAAAAAGGTTTTGTGCACTGACTTGAGAAGGGTCCTGTAAAGCCTGACATGGGCGGTAAAAGTGATGTGAAATATCTGTTTGTAGTCTGTAGAAGAGCCTTGAACTCTGACAAACATTTTATACTGTAAAGGAAATCCAGCTGTATGTTATATGTTTGACTGTATGTCAGAATTTGGACACAAATATTCCGCAGTACATAAAATGTTGCTGAACTTGATTTAATATGATAACAGCATTAAAAATATCAATTTCTTTCCATAAATGATAATGCAGTTTTTCTCCTCAAGAGAATTTTGCAAAGTTGAAAATAGAAAGCTTGCTTAATTTAGCATATTGCTGCAGGATTCTGAATTTTAAGGAGCTGCATCCGAGCTGTCCATATAAAATGGCATTAGAAAGGTGGAACCTCCACAACTCAAACAGAGAAATTGAGATTGTCTTATTCCCTTTTCATGGTGTTTTGTAAGCAGAAATGTGCAGTTCCTTTATGTAGGTTTCTGCAAGTACGTGTTCTCAAATTCCCAAATAGTGTTTTTCCCCTCTTGGAGGTTAAGCACTTCTATCGGATGGGTCCAACACAGAAGTCAGAACTGTAATTTGTCCTTACTGTTTCTCATACATTGAGCAGACGTCTGGCTGTGGACTCACTGTTTGCTGTAGTGGACATGCCAAGTCTGACTCCTATTCCTTAGATGGTATTGAAGATAAACGCTACAACCGCATGGGGTTGCAGTGTGTGAGTTTATGACCACGGGCTCTTCTCCTCTGGGACTGAAAATGTGTTTGGACCTCCACAGCATCCTCACTCGTTCGTCCAAATGACTAAAATCAGGATATCTTTGTGTCGTGAAAATAGAAACAGCTGTGCATGCATGAAGTGTAAAAGTTATTTGTTACACATCTGACTTTAAGCCTTCTATAAACCTCCAGTATGCATGCATGTAAACACAGTCAGAGAACAACAACACAAAGAGCAGCTGACAGATTTGTATTTAATGACATGTTTAGCTGTGTTTGATTCATGTTTCCAATAAAAAACAAAAAGACCTGCATCAAATTAGTGTGATCCAAATGCTTATGTCTGCATGGAGCCTGTGACAAGTGAGAGAGGAATACGAGCTGTCTTTTCAAAACAAGCACAGGGGATTTTTTTAAAAAACAGTTTCGGTTAAAACGTAGTCATTAAAAAGAAGTTGTGAATCAACTTTGCCAATTGAGAAACTGATACAGGGGGGAGTTCAGCTGCTGATGTTTTTGTTCGAGTACAAACGAGTCTTTGTTCCTAAAAAGTGGTGCGATTTGACGGAGGAAGGCCTTCTGCTCTCTGGTTGTACAGGTGGGACGCTCTAAATGAGAGAGGAAATGGTTTTCCACATGAGCAAATTGCAGCAGGGGTAGAGGTGAGCATTAGTGACTCTGACGTTAATGGAGTCATTCATCACTGATCAGTCTGCCACACAGTAGATGTGATGTGTGCAGCAGAATGATTTATTAGTAGATTTATTCTGAAAGTCCATCTCTGTCTGTTCCACTGTTTGAAATGTCTAATATCATAGAAATGCTTACTTACCAACGGTAACAATGACATTGGCTTTCCAGTTGTGGGTTTTCTGGAAAGCTGCTTCATGTCGATCACAATGGAAATAAGTTATTCTTGGGTGACCACTTTGTATAGCAGCAGGTATTTCCTAGAGTAAACCATGCTCTCCGTCCTCGGCTTTGCACTTTGCCAAGCTGGGACACTACAACTAACGCTGCCTGTGTAATTCCTTAAAAGGAGGCCGAGTACGCCATCCGAGCTGTTGGGATGCGGAACAGGGAGTGCACATAGCTGCATCTATTTCCATTGAGTCCCCAGATGAGGAGGAGACTGTGGCTCAGCTTTCACTTTGGATTAATTTATCACATTGTGTCACCAGACATATTTAATTCCAGTCTATGATCACTTGGGCTCAACATTGTTTTATCAGGAAGCAAACAGCAGTTTCCAACTGCCAACTGATTATGGACTTGAGCCCATTGCTTTGCACAAAGGTGATAAGTCACTTGCAACTCTTCACTTTAGCAGTCGATGGCCTTCAGCCACAAAACGACACACGCTCCGTTTCAGCCAAACTGTACCCAAACATTTTAATGAGCAACAGGAAAGGTCACCACTACAACATGTTGTGGCTTGTAAAATGTGTGGAATTTGTATCCTGGTCATGGACTTTTTCAAATGTGACCATGTTTGGTCATGTGGAGAAAGCAGCTGTGGCTTCATGATTGATTGCAAACGCCTCTCTGGCAACTGTTTATCTATAAGTGTGTTGAAGCACCTTTAACAGGAACCTTGTCTGATGATGCGATATGGAGTAAGCAGAGGACCTACACACGCTATATGTTTTGTATATTTAGTTGAGGTGTTAAAATTACAAAGAGAAAACTAAGCTACAACACTGATGTACTGCATCTCTACTAATTACAATATGTGGAGATGCACCTACTTACATCACAAAGACCGGAAACAAGAAGGAACAGCTATCCTGGTGCCATCAGAAGATAACAAAATTAACATTTTGTGACACTATTTACAGTGTTTGTACTCCTGAGCAATACCTGGCTGAACACTAATTTGAATCCTGATGGCTAACTGTAACGTCTGCTTGCATCAGTCTCTAGAACAATGCAGGACTGATTACAAAAAAAGCGAGTCTCAAACATCCAGCTGTCTCCATGTTTTTCCTGAACATTTCCTGATTGGTCTACTTGCCAAACCAAATGCTAATCACGCATTAGAAACAGCCTTGAATGTATGTCTCAGCCTCTTTTTGATGTCTGATTAATACATTTGTAGACACTCTGTAGAGACGCCATCATCAAGTCAGTAATTACAAAGCCAGACAATATACAAATAGCACATGGTGCCTACACAAAGCTAAGACAAAGGAGAGCCATGCAGCTGATATAATTATGGAGTTTTAAGTGAAAGGCTTTTAACTTTTGTGTTGGTTACAAAGCACTAATGGTATTACAGGACTTATTCTGGCCTTCAGTGGACCACTTGAGGATTTCTCAGGCTGAATCCTAGTTGGCTTCAGAAACAAAGAAATCAAACGTGGGCTTACTGTGATTTAAATGTTTTGATGAGCAACGCTGGAATTAGATACTTCTAAAAGCCAAATGTTTTTTCAAGACTGTATCCATTAATCAAATTAAAGAAGTCACTGGGTTAACTTCATAAATCCACAGCTCTGATATTAGTCACTGCCTAAAGATGAGCTGTATTTGTGTGGCTGGAGTAACAAATGACATATTCAGTCATTTCTATCTAAATATGCCAGAAACCTGCTTTTAGTAGACTCTACTGAACCTGTTTGAACCCTCTCAACGTTTTCTTCTACAGTATTTTGCAGATGTGGCCTGCACTTTATTATTGATCCTGAATGTTTTTGCAGTGTAGCTTTCATAAAAGGGAGTTGTTGTCTTTATAGTTTCTACTCATCACTGACCAGGTACATCAGGACATCAGGTACAGAAAACGTGTCTTCAAGAGCTGCAGCTGGTTTCTGCTGGTGAAGTTCTGTTTGTGCTCACTGACTCTCAAAACTCTATGTTTGTCAGGTTTAATGTACACCATATGTTAGATTTTTGTGCATACATTTTATTATTTGTCAGCATAAGAGATGCAGTCCTCTAACATAAAACATGGTGTAATGCCAGCAATAGTTCAAAATCTATTGCAGCAGTATTTGATTTTGGGAGATATGATCATTTTTAGTGACCAGGAGGCTGGAGATGACTAGTTTAGCTTCATATGAAAACTGGAAGAGGTGGAAACAGCTAGCCTGGCTCTGTCCAAAGTTGAAAAGAAAAAGAGAGTCTCTGACTCTCTGAGGAAAGGCCATGGGACCCCTGGGGCGTGGTTCGTGTTGTGTGACACTGAGAGGTTGACAGTGGATCTTTTGGGTCTTCTGGGTTGTGGGGTGGGGCCTCTGTGGATCAGGCTTGTTCTGGCAAATGTGGATGCCTCATCAAATTAGGATCTGGGGAGTTTCAGGAGGTCAAATTAAAACATTGTGCTCTTTGCCGTGTTCCTCAAGCCATTTCTGTACAGTTTTTGCAGTGTGGCAGGGCACAAGATCTCCCAGCAGCACATTGGGTTATAATTAGATGATCAGTGTTTTTTAATGTTGAGGCCGATCTGAGCACAACTACCAGCACTTCTAAATGCTTTAATCTACATTATATTTAATTTGTAGCCAGAAATAGAGAATGTAAGTATAATTTTATTGGGACTTGTTGCTGTTTGAATATCTTGACACACAATCGGTGAAGCCCTCTTAGTGTCTGTAGAGTTTGCAGGCTGCCATGGAGATGCTGCACACAAGTACACAGACACCACATGTGTGATCATGTTGAACACATGAAATGTAATGCATGGCTTGGAGATTTGTTTGTAGAAGGCATATCTTTGAAACTACAGCC